TTCAGGTCAAACAACAGACTTCAATAATAGATAGCTTCAAAGAAAAATAATAATAGATAGCTTCACAAACAAAGGAAAAGACAAAGACATGAATCCTGGAGTGTTTGAAATAACACAAGTAATTATGTCACTGAAATAGAACATATGGTGGGGAGAGGCAATAACAAAAGTGGACAGAGAGATCCAGCCTATGGAGGCCTTGGTAATGAGATGACTCGTTTGCACTCTCTATATAGATTATGGGAAGCCATTGAGTAATACTAATCTTTACAATCCGACTTATGATTTAGATAAATAATTTTGGTAGCACCATGGAAAAGGAACTACAGCGGTTTCAGCCCAGATTAAGAGACTTTTGAAATTATAAATGAAAACCTGAGCTAATATGGAAGAATGTATTACGACAACAAGCAAAGATTTAGATACTAAGGAAGTAGTGACTAAAATTAGAGACTGATCAGATGGAGTTAAGTTCTTAGTGGTCTCCATAAACAAAAGGTCAGTGGAGTCCAAACACAAACTCTAGCTATACAACCCATCTTTCCAAGAAACTGATGCGGCATAGCCCAGCAATGAAAATTAGTGGCTCTGGAATGGGTTGCCTGAGTTTACCCCAGGCTACTGCTGCACTTTCTTGCTGTGAGACTTCTGGCAGGTTAACTCATTCTTCTGCTGGGATCTCAGTCTCTACAAAAATTCAAAATTCAAAGAGCTCTTTTAGGGAACTAAATTAGTTTTATGTAAAATATTTAGAACCGTGTCTTGTATATCATAAGCACTTGATGACATTAGCTGGTGTGATACTTAACTGATAATCACTTTGGAAATTTTTTATGAGCTATGATATTGGTGTGCTTTGTTAAGATATATCCCTTTAAGAATAATGATATTAACATATAATTATTCTGGGTTTCTGAAGAAATCACTTCACTCTTCATATGTTAGCAAGGAAATATAAAATTTAATCAAGAAGACCAGCTTGTCTTTAGGGGGCAAAAAGATAAAGTATGATAATACACTGAGACAACAGTGATTGGACTAAATGTGTACAGTAGCTGGCTGTAGGGTCCTCTGTTCTTTCGTTCATTTGTCCTTATGCTTGGCCAACTCCTATTTCCAAGATCAATATTTTTAATTTAGCTGCGAGACAAGACCCTAACAGGAGAGCTGTGTATGATTTATTAAATAGTTCCATCTGTGTCACTTGAAATTCAAACAGCTGTGTATCAATGGAAGGACTCTGGAATGAGATCAATCTGCTGCTACAGAATTGATGTTCATAACAACAGTGACCTCTAGCAGCAGTGTGGTCATCAGATATCACCAGGAAAAGCAGAGGCTCACGAAATACAGGACAGGAGGGTTCTGGCTTCTCGGGCCAGCTCTATCCCTTCCCATATGTCTGCCTCCCCCTTGGCAGAGGCTTCATAAGTACTTCATGAAGAATGAATCATTAGATTACTTTTGTTATATTGATGTGAGTGAGTGCAGCTTCAACCAGGAAAGTTAGGGATTGATTCAGACTGTCATAAAAAACTTGACTTAGCTAAAAACTAAATCGAAGTAGTGGGTAGGCTTGTTTCCTGATTGGATAGGCTATTTTCAACAAGCCCTTGAGAAGACCTTTATAACTTTTAAGTGATTAGCTCAGAAAATGATATCTAAGCCCATTAATTAGAGGCCAAATTTTAAAGTTTTTTCAGCAACTTCAGTCTTTTCAGCAGTGTCCATGCACTGAATATGATAGTAAGGACAGAAATGCCTGGTGCAGCCAAGTTATTATCTTGGTGCTCAGCCTGTGCTGCTAGAGAAGAATTTTGTCTGTGATGCCCAAGGTCATGAGGACATTTTCAGGGGGAGTGGGTGACAGCTGCCTCCTGGGGTACCTTTATGTCTGCTTGTTTGAATCCATTTCCCAGCCCAAAACATAAGTGTCTTCCAAATTTTCCCTTTAACAAATGGCTCTGCTGTGGACACCCTCCTCCCTCTTGGAGCCATCCTGAGCAGCCTGCTGCATGTTTCCTCTCTAAGACTTTCCTTTTGTCCCTCCTAAGACTTGGCATTCAAAGATAAGCTGGTTCACACACAGAATAATCGACCCCCATAGTTCTCCTCACAAAGTTGGACTTTGGTCCTTCATTATGGGCCTTAGGAAGGTGTATTTTGTCTAAGTTTCTCAAGTGCTTCTCTGTAAGACCTGCCCTTTGATCCCCGCCAGCCCTGAATGCTCAAGTAGACAGCAGATATTTGAAAGCAAGGCTTTCTTTGTTTTTCCTCATAGGAGTCATCTTCCTTTCCTCCGTCTTCTGGAAAGAACAAATTATAACTAGTTTTGTTCAAACATAAATATTTCATTTTTATATTAATTCTGAGTTGTCAGAGGCCTCGGTAAATTCCCCCATTTTCTTCCTTTTCCATGTCAGTTAATCTATTTATCTGTCCACTTTATCTATCTACCAGCATTGTGTCCATAATCCAGACCTATGGGACCCTGGGCATATTCTGCATCTTGATTCCATATGAAAACTTTTGTAGGTGAGCATTCAGAGCTTCCAGATTCAAATTTTAAATATAACTAAGTCTACATTTACACAGACAGACTGCATTGCTGGAGTTTCTTTTCAAAAGCACTTCAATGAATTTTAAGTTTTATAATTAATTATAAATTCAAACTAGCATCTGAAGTCTTCAGAGAAAATCAACAAGAGGATAAATTATAGGTAACACTACAAAATAAATATTGCAAATCGGGCTAACAACCGGTAAGAGGCCTGGTATATAGACATATACAAATCCAGGATTTAACTCCCTCTGAGATAATTATTTTCTTATTCCCTGGAACCAGTTTTTATGTCCTGAGAGAAGATTTATATCACAAATAAGCAGCAGGAACAAGTTAACTGCCGAGAGAGTACTCTCAGTGATGCTATTGATGGCCAAGTTAAGATGATTATAAATCTATTAGAAAGTGAGGCACTGCTGATTTGTTCTAAAAATTTCAAGATAAGATTTTCATCAATCTATGAAAATGTTTTAAATGGGCTATTCCATAACATAAAATGTGATTTGACTTCAGTACCTAAAAACCTCCACACACACAACAGCCCCTTTTTCAGTTGTATTATCTTATTCTCCTTAAGCATTTTTATGGTCTAGGTAGAAGGTAGAAATGACTAATGTTGAGGTATTACACCTTCATTTTGTTTTATTTTTTTCTCCATTAAAAAATTAATACATGTGTACAGTACACAGTGTTTACATTCCTCATGTGGAATTGGTACCTTTATGCAACACATCTTAAATCCCTTTTTAAATGCCCTGTCCTTCCCCTTACTCCCCTTATATTTCTATAATTGGGAAGAAAATAATGCAGAATTTTCTTGAAAGATAAGAATGAAAACTTAATTTGATGTGGAGTCTAGATTGAGCCCCACTATTACCACCATTATTATACTAACTTCCCTTTTCTCCTACAACTCTTTCCTTACTAAAATGTGGCAGCCTATTTGGTAAATTGAATGGTATTATCACATCTGTGGGATAACAGGTTTGCTGTTATCCATTATCATTGACTTATTTACACTGTTCTCTTTCTTTATGCAGTGACACTTGATAAGGAACTTGTGTGAGCCCCTATGTGATAATATAAAGCTGTAGCTCCATAGTTCAGAGCTGAAATAATGTATGACTTTTCCAGTTTTTTTAGTACTCATTTTTATTTCTGAATTACAAATGAAGACCTGTTTATAAATACTTTTCTTTCATTTGCACAAAACCTCAAGAACTGATCTGAATTTTGTCCAGGTAGTCCCTGCATTTCACATTACTTTTACAGAGAAGCCCCCTCTCCTTTTCCTTGCCTGTCTCATGAGCCTGTACTAGTTTGGGCTTTATTACCAGGCTTAGGAATATGTAATTTTGCAAAATAAAGCACCTGTTTGTTCCTTATTCACTCAGTATTGTGTTCTCAGCAATTTCCACTGATGAAATTATTTTTACAAAGGTGCTACCTGACAGTGACTTAGTAGATTATTTTACCACAAAATTTTTTTTTTCTTTTTATATTTTTGGTACTGGGGATCGAACTCAGGACCTTGTGCTTGTGAGGCAGGCGGCGGAACCACTGAGCTAAATCCCCGGCCACAAAATCTTAATTTTAATTTTAATTGAGTCCACGGGTATGATGACCAAGAAGGTTACCAACTATAGAAATTTTCATACCATCTTAAAGTTATGATCATTTGAAGGGGAGGAAGACACTTTAACACCTCTCAGATACTTAAAACATTTATAATGGAACTTTGATGAAATTCATGATTCAAGTCCAGTGCCACTATGGAAAAATGCAGCAAAGACAGTTTGCAGAATTTTGGAAGCATACCTCATCATTAGGGCTGCCAGCTTCTTGTCAGGCTGTGGACCCCCTTTCCAATCCACTTGATGCAACCACCAAGTGACAAAGCTTCAAATGCACTTGTTTCCAGAGGAGTGATATTTCTGCTTTCCACTGCATGGCAAAGTGTAGGCTCAGTTTTAAATCACAGTTCCTTTGCCCCTCATTGAAAGATGTTGGGAGGGTTTGTTGAATGCTCTGTCCCAAATCTTCAGCAGCCTGAGAATTTCTCTAGTTTTAAGAAAACACTTCCTCCCCTGAAGATTTCTAGAATTTGTTTTAAATTTTCATATTTTTCCTAAGTACATTTTCTTCAATGTTTCTACCTTAAATTAGAAGCTTTTATTTATTATCAGAATTATTACTCTTAAAGTACAAAATTTTAGTATGCTTTAAAAGTTTAGTAATTATTATCTTTTGCATGCAAAAATCCTGTAAATCCTGAGCAAATATTTAGCCAAACTATAAATGATTGTTAAGGGCATTTCCTCCTTTTAGGTAAATGTCCATACATATTCATGTATGCTTTATAAGTTACCTTTTATGACAGGTTTAATAATGTTAAATGGTATCCATTAACAAATACATTGTTTTTTTAACCCTTCAGGTGGAGGAGGCCCTGGAAGCTGTCAAAAATGCTACAAATGAACAAGACCTTGCAAACCGCTTTAAAGAGTTTGGAAAAGAGATGGTGAAACTTAACTATGTAGCAGCAAGAAGACAACAGGTGGGAAAGATTTTGGAAATGCTAGGGGAAAAAAATGGGTGAGTTTAAATAACCTTGTAGCTTTGTAGGTCTGACCTATGGATAATTTTATGTGCTTGCTATCCAATTCCCCTGGAGGCTGTTTCTTGCTTGGCCCAGTTGTAGGACCATGTTGGGCCTCAGGTGGTCTCTGGCCCCCACTCTATTTCTTTTTTTTTTTTTTTTGGTACTGGGGATCAAACTCAAATCCTTGCGCTTGAGAGGCAGGCGGTGGAACCACTGAGCTAAATCCCTGGCCCTTGGCCCCCACTCTATGTAAAGCACAGACTACCTGTTTTCACTGATGAGCGCTACTCTACCAGCCCCACATACTCCAACCTTTTTTTCACTTTAGGAATAGCTCCAGGTCAAATAAAAAATCAAAACATGCTGTGGATCTGTTGTCATTCTCTGGACTCCACCCTTGGCCTTAGGTTGTATCTCTAACCCTGTAGATATGACCATGAATGTATTCACCCAGCACATGCACTGTGTGGAGTAAAACTCGTAAAAGAAAGGAGGACAGCATGAAGAAAAATGAGAGAAAATGTGGGGAGATATAGGAGAAGAAAGGGAAAAAGGGAAGGAAGAGTCCCTTAATAAAATGAATCACTTAAATGTAGACAGGTTACCTGGGATCTCCTCGGCCTCCTCTGTGTCTAGAGATAACACCCACAATTTCAGCCAGTTTCATTTTATACCATTAAAATTTCACTCCCAGCGTGAAAGCCTCCAAATGTAGAAAGGTCCGGCAATTCCCAGTGACTTTTTCACCTACAGGAAGGTTCCACTCAGCAAACATTTGTTTAATAGTCACTCTGCTGGTCTGAAGTTATGCCAGGATTACAAGCTTCACCAACATGTAGTCCCTTACATGGCAGGCACAGACAACATAATTGTAAACATGATTTTAGTGTATGTGATTATTTTAAGTTCTTTTTCAAATCAATAATTCTTTGTTCAACAGAACCTTATGTGATAGCTCAGGTGTAATATGATTAAGAGTGAAAAAAAAAAAAGGAAAAAAGAGTGAAGTTGCTCTGAAGCACAGCTGAGAGACCTAGAATCCATGGGTCTTGTTTATACAACTGAAAGAAAGACTGAATATGCATCTCAGTGAACCAAAGAGGAGATCAGGAAGAAAAGTGGGACCCTATATATTCTGTGCTGGACAGTGTTTTGGATTTTGTTATGAGTTGATTGGTTCAAAATTCAGTATCAGTGCCTCAGAATTACATCTTATTGTAATTCTTAGTATGTTGCATAAAAGGGAGTGGAGTGGAAGAAGACAAACCAGTGTGGGAGGGCTGAAATGGTCTAGGTTTAGGTTTGTGTGGGTTTAGTACTAGTCAGTTTTATCCTCTCTAGGCTCACATACAACTTACAGGACTGGAGGGGTTAATATAGCTCACAGTTTCAAGGTGTTCAGTCCACGCTCAGCTGGGTCTGGAGCAGAAATGACATTATGAAGGACATGGTGAAGGAAAGCTGCTGGGAAGAAGTGGGAAGAAGGAGGACTCAGGAACAAGAACACACCCTTCCAGGTCACACCCCCAGTGACCCACATCTTCTAAACAGGGCAACCTCCTAACAGCATATTCAGCTATACATTCAACAGTGGATTAATCCACCCACCAGTATAGTGCCCCCATGATTCAGTCACCATTCAAAAGCCCTAAGCCCTACTTCAGAGCACGTGAGAATTTGGAGGAACCTTTTTATACATAAATTATCACACTCTCCATTAGTGCAACAGCAGTGAAATAGAAAAAATATATAGGGAGTAAAAAGGATGGTTTCAAAATAGAATACAGAGGTTCTACTCTTGAAGTAAATGTGTCAGGTGGAGAAAAGCAGCAAACAACTTTGTTCTAAGGTTCTGATTTGAGTAAATGGTTAGGAGATGATGGTTTTCCTGAGATGAAGAGAACCAAAGAGGCCAGTTAGTGTTAGAAATCAGCATTTCATATATAGATAGGCTGATTTT